TTCGACGTTTGGCCGCTATCTCGCCTGGTGGTAAGCGGTGATGCGTCCTAGATGTAGCAAGTCTACCCATAAGCAACTTACTTGAAGACACTCAGGTTATACCCTTCAGGAAACACAGGGCTCTGGCACAAAAATAATAGAATAAGTCACCCCGATTAGATATATGAGCAGGCGGTGCTATCCGGTAGTTATAAAATGTGTATCAGAACTTCCATAGTAAGATTAGGAAGTGGTGACAACAGTATCCTTCTCTGCCTTCAACACGTTGCAAATTAACTAAATTAATGGTCATGAACTGTAATAAGATCTGAAAATATAATTAATTAATTATTGATTTAAGTGTTTAATCCCTATAGATGTATTAATAATTGATTTTATGCACGGTTTATTTACAGTTTCTGCATACATAATACGAATGTATATTATTAACTCGTCGAGTACCGGTTTTGTAGACACAATTATAGAACAATAGGTTGCGGTCACCGGTGACCGCTTGGTGTTTGACAGTTTAATGTACCGACACTTACTCGAATCGACATTTTGGAACGAGCGCCTAGCTTCACTGACGGACAGACTGACAGACTATTATTTATTTCATATTTGTTGACGTTTCAAAAGTATCAAATTATGGTTTATTTGAAATAAATGCTTTTGAGTTTGAGTTTGAAAAATACTTCTAACAACTTATTTTACGGTTACACCCTGAAGGAATCGATATAAGTGAATAATCTACTACTATAAAACTATAAACGATAAGTGTATATCGTATTCCTTTTAGATATAGTCTCTATGTTAATCCACCAATCAAAATTAAGGATATTGCCAGCCATTATCAAATTAACCCAATTACGTTGTCTTGCAAAACAAATAAATAGGTTGCTCATTATGTTATTCATCCATTTAATTGCCAGATACATATATTAAAACATAAAAGAAGTCTTCGAAGATATTTACATACTTTGTAATATGTTTAACTTATCTATTGCTTTCGATAAATCAGATAAATAAAGTTGTACATATTTAGATTCCTGGTTAATCGACTGCTGTAAGCGCTACGACTGAATGAAGAGTGTTTAGTTTTCAGTTAGAATACGTATAGAATTTCTTTCATTTATTTATTTATTTTATTTATTTAACTTTATGCAACAAGAGTACATAGGCGGGCTTAATGCCATGGGCATTCTTACTAGCCAACCTTTAGGTGATGCAGTGAGAGCGTGGTCGGTGCAATAAGTTGACAACGAGTAGATATCTAATATAATTTTTAAAATGACAGAATACATACAACGGACTATTGTAAATATAATTATATATATTTTTAATATTTCATTTTTCATTCAAGTTTCATTTTCTCTATTATGTAACTAATAACATATCTGGCTAAAACTGGATGCATCTAAAGACAATCTCTTCGAGGTGAAACAGGCTTGAGGCTATAAAAATGTGATACTTACCTACATGTTGATAGACTCTCATCACTAGACAATGAAGCCAAAAAAATATCATCCTTGAAATATTTTGCAACAAGCGGTCCACCTGAACAGGTATTCACGCGATTGTCCACAATGTGACCTCCACTTAATCGATTAATATGCTAATTTAGATTATTTATTAGGCAACAACCAACCAATATTTCGAACTGTTTTGCTCATTCTAAGTTTTTATAGATTTTTTAAGTATCATTGCTTTAACCAAACCCAATTTGATCACAAATGTTGTTATTCTACGAAGAAATTTTACCGAAACCTTTTTCTCATAGTTAGTTTTCTCATGGTCAAATACTATTTACTCAGATTTTACATATTGTGGTATCTTAAACATAAAAAACTCTATTGACATAAAACCTATATTGTTTTATACTTACTCTGTACTGAATATCCTTAATTAATATTCTCCTGTATGCACTTATGAAGCTCATATGAGTGCAACATTATCAAGTACAATAAAAACTAGGTTTTAGAGAGCCTTCAAATTATGGGGAAAATATGAGGAAGGTACATAAAATGCTTTTTTGAACCGTTTTACAAAATGGAATTACTGATATACTTCAGATATTTTTAAGCAGGGAAATTCATCAAATGTCTCCAGCCTAGGTAGGTAGCCGCGGAAAACGTAACAAGTTTTTTTTAAGGGGGGAAAGTCAACGAATGACTGCTCCCGCCTGGGTGAGGCGGGAGGGAGTGTCAGACTCTTACTGACTAAAAACCACCCCGTTCCTTCTCCTGCACGTCGAGCCGGAGCCCCGGTTACCCGTTAGGTTCTCCGCGACTCAACTTAACAGGTTACCGGGGTTCCAACTAGAAGTGCAGGAGTAGGAACGGGGTGGTTTTTAGTCAGTAAGTCTTACAGTCTGTCTAAGAGTCTAACGGTCATTCGATGATTTTGCCTCCCTTAAAAAGCCGTAAGGCGCGAGGTAGTGTCAGACTCTTACCGGTTAAAAACCACTCCGTTCAAAGTCCCAACACTTGCTTCGAGCCGGGACCGCGGTAACTTATAAAAGTTGTTAATTACATAACCAAATAAACTGCATCGAATAAATAATACTAATAGAAATAATCGCATAAGTTTATGCAAATTACTTGTAAATCAAGGTTAACATATTTTTGTCAAATCAACGATTAGCTCATTCTTTAATATTAAAATAGAACAAAGAACAAACCGCATATTTTTGTTCTACCGAACATTTTATTTATTTTGTCTATAAATATATGTAAATACTTTGATTTAATTTTAATGACATAACCGTGATCAGAATATGTATGTTATGTAAACGACTAGGAAAGCTTTTAATAGCACATTTAAGTAATAAAATTATAATAATTGAGCTAATCTGTGTTTTACTTTAGTGTTTACACTTTTCAATAAAATTTTATTGTACGTGCTATTTGATAAAATAGGTATTACATAAATGAATTAAGTGTTCTCATGTTTGATACTAATAGGTATAGGTAGGCAGGTACTGTTCAATATTTTTGGGTTTATCGATTTTTTAATTCTTAGTTCTTTAATAATTAGTGTTTCTGCGTTTTTTTTAATATACTTAAATATCAAATCTAACAATAAGTAAGGTAATCTTATATTTTTATTTTATATTTTATACTTTATACTTACCAATAATAATTACTTTCGGAAAATAATACACAATATACATTTAAATAAAATCCTCTAAGACTTTAAGTATGGTCAGAATAATATTACAAATTATATTATTTACTCTGAAAATACCATATACTGCGATTACGTTTAGATAAGGGACTATTTTTAAACAATTATCATTTTTTCAGAGCATTTAGAAATGAACTCGGCTAGTTCAATGTGACAAATATCATCAGTATGAGTTATTAGTTTCAGGGAATAGTAGGATTAAGTTACAGATCCATAGTTTAAAGACCCATTGACCTACAAATTCACAGCTGTAACATATCTCTAGGTCGTATGTGTGATGATATTGATCCACGTAACGGAAGGCGACGTCATCCACTGGGCGCGACACGATTCTGCGCCGCCTGCTGCAGCAGCGACGACACGTCGACGCGACGGAGCGACGCCGATAGACGACTCCTGACTCTCGACGTGATGTGTAGGCAGATTCGTCGCACAATCGCACGACAAGCTTCCATATTTACTTGCCCAGTGCCAAGCAACTTACCGGTTTCACACGAGTGGGCTGCTACTAGTTCTTTTTCGTATGTTAATTGGACCAGTGTCTATCACTATCACATTATAATATAATATCATTTCTGGTTCACGAATATACATATCTCTCTACATACCTATACCAATCTATAGATATGGAAGTCTACCGTCTACATACAGACTATACAAATAGAAACTGCAGTGCAAATCTAATTTTACTTCGGTGATCTTCCTGTAATAACAGTAAACAACGCTTGCATTATACTACTAGGCATGACTATCAACGCAGCAGTGCGCGAGCGATAACTAAAAATACTGCCAGACCTCGTGTTGCTTGCTTACTTGGAAATAATTTTCCATTGCGGATAATCTAATCTAACATTATACATCCATTAACAAATAACCCTTTCCGAGACGCGTATCGTAATAGATACGGGTACAAGCATGCTCAATGTGATTAGTTCTATGGCGTCAAGAAATCGACTCGGAACGAGATAAAATTAAATTGGCGGCTAAAAGTAAGAGATACTGCGCGACCTTGGGGCAGAGTGGTTTGTTCCGGGTTCGGTCCTCCACCCACCGACCGGTCGCTGCGCCTGCGCCTCTCCGCTGCACTCACTTGTATCTACCTACTAAACATAAATGTTTCTTATTTAAATTGATTGCAGCTGAATGCATTATAGCTGTAGGTAGTCTGGCCGCCAAAACGTTGTCATAAAATAATAAAATGTATAGATATCTAATCTATCTAATTCTAGGCAGTAAAAAACTTGTCAGAAACTACTAGAAGAAAAGCAAACATTCACTGGAAACCTTATTGTAACAGCAATGTAAGTGATGTCAACACGGTATGTAGTGAGTGAGTAGTCGGTTCACGTGCCGGCTCATATAACATAGCTATCGGATGTAAATATTAACAATAATGCGCAAATAGTGAGGTTGCTGGCCCATCGTGTATAAACACACGTTACATCACCTTCTCTTGACTAACGAGTTAACAAGTAAAGTGAGAGGACATCAACTGTTCATAATTACCAAAGAGTATTTTAAGAAGACATCATTAGTTCAGATTAGACATCTGCATTCACTTCAGCAAGCTTAGACTAAACCTTGAAACATAAACAGAAGTGATGTCATGAGCCATTACATTTAAAACAATATTAGAAAACCTACCCGTTTGGGTAAGATACAGTTGCGTCAGGCAATCAGGTCCTTGCCAATAACTAAGTCTCATTCTACGCTAGTTTTCCTTAAAAGACTTGTTTAAACTTTTTATGATAATGTAATATATTTTTAAATTGATAAATCATTCAATAAAATACAAAAATATTGGAATATCACGACAAATTGAAGAATACCATAAGTTACTGCTAAAATAATTTATTAAGTTTTAGCAATGTTATCATGAATTAAATAATAAGGCAATCACGTGGTATTTGATGCAACTATTAATGAGTATGAAGTTAAATTACAATATCAATACAAGCAAAAGCTGAGATTAATATACCGATTCGGCGTTTTCACCTATCACAATTTCTTTGGAATAAAAATGTTCTACTTATTCGTTAGCACTAGACTCTTCGATAGTAGTCATAGTTGGATCTATGGCAAGGTCTACGTGCGATTTGTTACTACTTGGTAAAGTATTAATATTTGCATCTGCCTCCGAGCTAACCTCGCCCTCCTTCGGCTCGGCTTCGTTCGTTGTTTCTTCCTTAGCAGTAGCATTGGACTCGTGCAATGCAGCAGCTCCTTCCTCGACTTCAGGTACATTTTGTGCTAGCGTTGGAACTTCGATTGTTATAATCTCATTTTCAGTTTCTTTGGGTGATTCTGCTACTTTATTCTCTTCGAGTGGCCTAAATATTTCTTGTAGCGAAGAAACTTTCTTCTCTGTGGGAATTATTCTATTTAAATATACTAATATGTCTGACAGTGAAACAATTCCTACTAGTTTATCTTCTTTATTTACTAACAATAATCGATGACTCTCAGTTCTAACTATAACTTCTAAGGCCTCATATAAAGTAATACTTGAACGACATTTTTGTAACTTCTCTTCCCAGTCTTTCTTTTTATTTCTTACTTCACCTATGGTCAACGACAAATTCGAATATAATTTTTCACTTACTAGATTTAACACTTCATATTTTGCATAAACATCAATAAGCGTACCGTTGTCGTCTAATATCGGTAAAGCCGAAACATCTTTCTCTAACAACAATTGAAATGCCGTCTTAATACTTGTTTCGTCAGTAACAGACACGATATCTTCAAATGTTCCAATTTTTAACTCTGTTAGAGTCTTATGGAAGAAAGTTAATTCTGGAAATTCATTAAGATACACAAACAAAAACCTTAATATTCTCTTATGTGACAAAATGTAAAGAACATCTCCATTGAAAGGATCAATCATTAACAAGCGGTGGACACGGTTCTTGTGAAGTAAATTAATGGCGTCGTGAAGTGACTGATCAGGCCCAACACTACACAAAGGCTTGCGCGTTGATCGTAACAATTTTCTCCATGTATGAAGAGTATGGCGTTCTAAATCTTCAACCGATAAATTTTCTTTATCGAGATAAAGAAGAATCCTTATAAAATCTGTCACTGTTATCATACCGACAAGAAGCTTTTTGTTAGCATCCCAAAGCGGTGCAGAGCGAATACCATGTGATATAAGTGTGGGAAAAGTCTTTCTGACAAAAAATTGTGTATCAAATATAATGACTTTCGCAGACTTTGGTAAAATTTCGTAACATTTATGATACTTAAAAAAATTCAATAAGAGCCTAGTTTTATCCCTACCACCTATGGATATTTGGACGATAGACAAATAAGGATCATATTTAGGTAGGCCTCGTACTTCCCTAAACATTTGCTTTGCTTGCGATGGATCTAAAGAAGCGTATGAATTTTTATGATAAGTAGGTGAAGTCGTCTCAATAGAAGACCGACGAACTTGTTTGTTGCTTTTCTTCTTGACTGGATCTGCAGGAGACTGGCTACTTTCTGCGTGAGGCTTGCTGCGGAAAATATCCATTACTCTGGTAATGGGACTGTACTTGCGAGATGAAGCTCCAGTAACTGTGTGGTAATACTTTTTGTGGGAATCTTTATTGTCAGCATATTGCTGGTCATCTTGACTTTCAGGGGCTTCTTGGGTTTCCGTCGTTTTGGCTTGTTTCGGCGGATATTTCTTAGCATCACTTTTTCTTCTTAAACGAAATATATCAAAAATAGAGCTCCGTGGACTAGACGACGTGCCATGAAAAGTTTCATATCCTTTCTCGGGTGCTGACTGGCGCTCCGCACTGGATGCCCGGGACGTATCAGCAGGCCTTTCTTTAAATATTGACCTTACATGGGGCCTTTGTGACTCGACACCTCGCGTGCCAAAATGGACCGTATGTACATTACTATCAGCTACTCTAGAAGGAACTTTTTCTTCTGTATTGGGTAATGTGGTAACAACAAATCTCTTTCGCTCACCTACAACGGTTTGATTTTGCGCTTCCGAATGCTTCTTCTTTTTGTTCTTATGTTTCGCCTTGCCATGTTTGGTCGGTGATTCGGTCGTCGCAGATTCATTTTCTAGAATTGGATCCATATCCAAATATGAATAACAAAATAATGCTTTATACCTTTATCTTGTAGCATAATCCAGGAAAATGTTTACCATTACCTGTAACAGAATGAAAAAGAATATTAGTAAAACGAAATTCATAATTTACTTTCCTACTTATGAGGGAACTACACATAAAACCTATTATGAAAATATATATAATATCAACAAATTAGTTAAATTGTTATTGATTGTTTACGGTAACTATTAACTATAATTAGATAATAATTAGTTATTGTTAAGTCAATATATTTTATCTACAAGATCCTAATTTACATTTATACGTATTGTAAGCAGCGCTAAACTCTATGTACAAACTACTAAATGCATAATAAAATGTGTGGACATAAACTATATTTGGCAGGAACGAACATTAAACTGTCAAACACCAAGCGGTCACCGGTGACCGCAACCTATTGTTCTATAATTGTGTCTATAATGACGGTACTCGACGAGTTAAGATGTCTATTTATTTTTTATATAATTATTAGAATTTTGTAGCAGAGATAAGCAATTTCAAACACAACACAAATCATATTCATAAGCGAAAATACTACCGCGTCAATCGATTACTTGGTAGATTAGATTCAATTTTTAAAATCTCAACAATTGACAGTCTATAAGTCAGAAATGATGTCCGAATTTATAGTTATCTACAATAGGTAATAAGCTCACTCCCTATTAATTACAATTAATTATAATGTGAGAATTACATTAACAATGCCTACTACTAATATTAAAAAAACGTAAGCGTTTTATCAGAATCTACAATTATAACACGTCTTTCGTAATAATAATTGACCCTGCTCCTCAAAGAATATTACAAGCAACAAGTTACAAGATTATTTTCAGAATCAAAGTATCTACACCTTTATCACTACGTAATAAAGCAAAATAGCCTTGAGCAAGATTATTTCATTATCAAGCCATCGTCTAGTTATCTAAAACTATCGCCGACCGACATAAAGGTTTTCACATTAACAGTTTGATGAGATGAGATTTTTCAACGTATTGTTATAAAAATCACTCTACAACACGTGCCAATGTACATACTACATTATATTACACTACTTCGTCATAGGTGCCTACACTAATACAACTCAAACATACCAATAAGTTTCTATACCCAGATGCCTCGAACTGACGTGTTGTATTTCTTTGGTTGGAACACCATATTTGAAGTGTACGGATTTAATAATTTTTCAGCAGTTTAGACGTAGGTTTCTGAAGCAAAAACTGCATGACCTAGTTTAAATAAACGAACATCGAAATAGTGCAGGCATTCACACAAGTTGGAAAAGAGCTTAGAAAATTTTCCATAATTTATTGGCGAACAATTGTATTCGTAAATAGCATAAATGAGCATAACATTTTATAATCACATGTATTGACACGTAAAATACTGTATTTGCTCATCTTTATTTCACTTTTAAAGTCTATATAAGCTGATGACTCATTAACGTTTATTATCAGTAGTCGTGTAACATACGCGGTCTATCAACTATGTCACTTCGCGATTTAACTGCCGCATAAATTAATCCCATAGCTCCCATATCGTTGCTAAGCAACGCAATGCGCCAAATGCACCTATTTTACAACACGCGTTAGCTATTTGCTGTTGCATTGCGTAATCTGCAGACTACGTTCTTAGTGTAGCCTCAACATTACTTCCAAATTTAATTCACAAATATTATAAATAAGAAACATCACCACTAACATTATAATATTCGACACATTAACACGGTTTGGCTAAGTCTATATTTGACACCATTTCACTGATCAATACTTTTATAGAGCAAGAACTGTGCGGTACTGAATGAACACAAAACGTACCTGGCGTCACCCAGAGCTTCATCTTTTTAATGCCACAAACTTCACACACTGATTTCTTGCAAGACGGTTACTGTGTGTTTTATAGGGGCTGAGCACTATTTTACTGGGGTCGCGTGTTATTCCCGACGATATTGTGTGCGGCCATGTTGGTTGTCAAATTACGCGAGGGTTCGTGGGGCGACATCTGCCGTCGGGCAAGGGGATCGCGTCGTAGGGCGGCACGCCAGCCAAATCGGCACGGGTGGGAATGTTATCATTGTTTGAACCAAGCGCAGTTGACTTTCAATTCGTGAGATGTCACGGCGAACTGATTTCAGATTAAAGTCGTCAGGAATTTGTGAAAGATGCAATAGGGCTAGGATGTGAGTAGATTTGTTGTTGCCAATGGATATGAAGAGAATATAAACAATATTCATCTTTCGTTCGTCACTCATTCAATACATAATTACATCTGCATATTTACCTGAATTGCTAAGTTTTTCTTGAATTTCGTTTCAGTAAAAGTTTGAAGTTTCTGAATTTTTCTCCGGACACAACCAGCGGCTAGTAAAGAAACTTACATGAATGCCAGAAATCTGAATGTCATAGGAAGTCGACAACAAAAGATTACTATCAGTTCTGCGGTTTAATATGAAATCTCGAAAACATCTAGAAGAACATCATTGTTCAAGGCACCTATGACACGAGAAGTGGCATTATTTAGAATTACAATAACTGCAACAATTAAACGTATAATGCGCGTGTACCTATTATTAAAAGAGCGCATGTTATCAGTGATCGGGACGATAAAGCCAAGTTGAGCGATGGCGAACTTAACATACCTGATAATCTTGAAAAATATTTGTTAAATGCCGTATAATCGACACCGTGGAACTAGTGACGCGCCTGCAATTCCACTAAAACGTAATTGTAGGGATTTGAACTTGGACAGAGTACATTGTATTGATTAACTTGACCTAGAACCCTTTAACCCCTAAAAGGATCGAGGCCAACTTAACTTGTAGCTATACAATACAGAGTAACTAAACATCAACAGCTCGTGACAGTTCACTGCCTCCACTGGTTGATTTGGGCCTTCAAAGGTGGGGTTTGCCATAATCCCTACGATCAGTAGCCAGTTTGGAGAAGGTTCAGATTTATTAGGGAGCGCTGTTGCCTGGTCTCTGCTACCCGTGAGAAGAGTAGGAGGGCTGAAAATGTATTCTACTTTGCCATCACCACGCGACAAGACAACAATGTAAAAAATAATTATATGTATCTAATTATATGTAGCATACATACAGAAAACTTCGATCTCATTTTATGTACATTTTAACGTGACTTGGAATAAGTAAAATGTTCTTTAAACATAAAATATGCAGATGTACGCGTACGTAGTGTATTTCATGCCACACCATTTACCGACAAGTAAATAGATGCATCAATAACAACACCGTGCAATAAAAAAGAATAATGAGAGTAACATTGCTTGAAGGGCACAACCAATGAAGTTTATTGAATGTGTACCTACGTAGTAATAATCTGAATGTATATTATGACAGACCCAACACCGCCATGACGAATCTCGTGTCATTGAAAAATCGTCATATTATATCACCAAGTAAACATACAAACAAATATATTTTACTCAATGACATTTTGTGATTGCAGATGTATCTACGCCAGCAGATAATCAGGTATGAGTAATGTGACACTTTCGAGCTGAAATTGTTCACAGGTTAAATATAAAGGTCTGTAGCTACACTTGACTTTGAAAATGATGGAACACTCTTGAAAACAATAAGTCGCCTACTTCATAATATGATTCGCTTTCACGTAATCAGTAGATGAAAGCTTCCACCTCAAATCCATAACATAATTCTCACATGATTCAATATGACGCCCACAGAAGGGAGGCGTACGCGGTACGCGGTACGCAGAGCTTTAATTTTATGAATGGAACAAGGTACCGCGTAAGCGAAAATTCTACACCCACGCACTTAAATGTATTTTTAAACTTCCAGAAAATATGTTCTCGCATTTTGCAGAAACGACATTCAGATACGTAGTAATTAAAAGTTAAGAAACTAAAAAAACCTTTGAAATTTTTATGGATTCTTGGAGGGAAAAGCATTACTTTCAATACCTTACACGTGCGATAAGAATAAGTGAGAGTAGGTAAGTTTAAAGTTCCCTGACATAGCAACAGCACACTTCCACTCGTCTCGGTATGACGGCATCGCAGTTCTAAATTTAGGTAAATTTTGCCCAATACAGTGCGCATGCGAGAAAAACGATGACGTAGTGTTTCGTCATGAATCCGTGACGTCATTGTTGCAGAGACACGAGGCAAACGATGACGTAGTCAGCGGGGAAGAGGGCGGAGGTGGTTCTGGTGCGATCGATAGCCAGCCGTTGATAATGATATTCCTGTAGTTCAGTGACGCTCGACTAATAGCGGCACGGGAGTAGAAACTGTCAGCCTTTAGAAAAAGCACGGGTCGGCAGCTCACGTGCTACGACTTAAATGCATTCAATAATACACAGGTCAGTCGGTTGATAGTGAACAGTTCACAAGATGCCTTACTGACATTCTAATGAACCATGAACCACTGAAGCGCGGAATTTATGAATTGCTTCCTAATGATGTTTTTATTTTTCAGTACAATGACGACTGTTGAGGCAATATATATACCATTCCCTTGGACTCATTTAGTCTTATCATCCTCTTCGAATGCTAGATAGACGTGTTTTATCGAATACCATTATGATTACGTCTAAAATTATTCCCATTACAACTCCACAAGTTATATCCTCAATAAAATCTAATTCTGACTTTAAAGCTGTTCCATAAATAACTGATGGGAATATCGAACGATGTTTAAACGAATGTTATCAAGACGTAACTTCGGATAAACATCTAAAGAAATATGACTATTGGTGACGCTCAGATTAACTCACCGATTGGTTTCTGATACAGTTCTATTAATAGATATTTGACGCGATTAACTGGTTGTTATGAGTTTATCGTGACTAATTTTTCATCGTATGTATGGCTGAAAATATAACCTCGGTTATCGTAACACTTCGGTAAGTTTAATATATAAGGTGACTCCAGGAAAACCGAGGAGTCATAGAAGTACTAGACATAGGTACTTATGTATATTTCTATTGTTTCGAATCCACGATGTTCCTCTGCTATTGTTGTATGCGCTCAGAACCATTACTGGTACGTATGACGTATAAACAGAAAAAGGAGACTAAATAATTGTTGGCGATTACCGTGACATACGTATATGTACTTTAGTTATCTAGATCTACTAAAAGTCGTATATTTAAGTACAACATATTTAGTCAAATCATTGAGTATTAAATATCAAAATACAGCTCATAAACAATGCAAGTAATAAAATCTTGTAACTCGAGCAATTGCCGTAGTCAGACAGAATTAGTCGTTTAAAATTCAAATCAACGCTTATCTATTGATCTACGGAATAAATGAAGTAATCGCACTGGTAAAATGATTAAGCTGTAATCTGATTTGATAAACCAGCTATGTTAAGGTAGGTTTCCACTGATATACTTACTAAGGAGAAACGTCTTGTTTACGACAACAAACACCTATTTAAGTTACTAATACATAAAGTACTAGCGAACCCTCATCATCTTGATTATACATCTCTATCATAATTATGATGAAACTGCACTACATCTTATGCAATGAATGGATTATCCTAATTAATATGGACGTAAAGATTCAATTTATTTTGACACGAAACAATCCGGCTTGTAATAAAAACAAATCTTGTTTAATCGCATTATTGATTATATTAAATGTGACGTGGATGCAACGACAAGAATAATTCATCTAATCGATACAGTATCAGTATACAATGTGTGCATTTATTATTAATTCAATGATACTACAACGACCTCGTCACCATTTTTTCATCTATTAGATAAATCCACTACCAATGCGCGCGTATCACGTAGGTACGTTCATCTACATGCGATGCCCTGGGCCCTGGCTAACTATAAAAAGATTAAGATTGTCAGTAATGCAAACTCTTATAAGATTACGGAATGGCGTGTCTCGTTTGCTGAAATCTCGACTAATCCAAACATCTTCTGCGTCTGATAACGTACGTCCTCACATCACGAGTGCGTCAATTTATAAGTAAGCACTCACTGGTACTGATAAGTCACGAAATGATAAATGTATTTACAATCTTTGTAATCAAAAATTATTCGGCTATTAGCTTATCAAATAGTTCTATCGATATGTCCATACGGAATGACGACCAAAAAACAATGTCGACTTCAAATTAATACTGGTTAGTGGCTATCCCAAAAAAACTAGTGTCTAATTCAAAAATACAAAGAGAGTATGTAACCTGTTTCGAACAGGTCAAACCAGACGAACAATTTAAATGTTCCAAAGTATATACCTTGTCGACATAATACACGAAGGAAAAAGCTGTTGATTTGGCTATCAATAAAAAAATTAACATGCGGCTTTCCTGTGTTAATATTTGTTAAAATATGATTACCAATGAAACCAATATAGAGTTTTTGTACACCTTTCTTTACTTTTTCCCGTTACTCTACAACCTAGTTACCAAGCCACATGGTGGTTAGTCAAAACAATAATATACGCACCAGGCCATGTGGTATACAACTGTAAATCTGTCTAAATATACAGATTCACATCTGTAACGAGTGATATTTTCGTGACGAGCACTTTTAAACATAACCTCAAAACGTTACACAATATACGCCCGTCGTACTTTAATATTATTTTAATAATGTTAGTTTAACAATTGATGCAGTTGTATACTCACAACACAGATCATTACGCTGAACCCCTCTAGCACTGACTATTTATGAACACTTCACACACACACTCGCAATATGCATAATGCATCCAATACTAGCGAATAGTTTCATATGCGTCGTGTTCGCGTTAAATCGAACACAGGTAGTTCACTGGTCGATTATGCGGACGTTGTATAACATGGGCACTGGGACGGGAATTGATGGATCCACTGTTTTGTCAGCGGAGACCGCCATGCCCAATTAGTACAATTTACAATCGAGCCACAGAGTGTTCCAACAACGCGCTGACGGCATCGAAACAAGCGAGTCGCGTTCACGGTATGGAATTCTCTCGCGGCCGCGGGCCGTTGATGCGGCTGCGTTCGCGCACCGATATGTGCCCGCACCCACACACGCGCACGCGTAGCGTCCAAACACACACAAGCCACGCATCAAATGTAGATGACGCTCCCGACGACTGACGAAGCCGCGACTACTGATAAATTATTATGTCACTTATCAGTCAATTGGTTCAGGTAAATATAAATACGATAAAAATAAAAAATATTAAAAATATTAGGTATGAAAATAAGAGTGACAAAGCGTCACATTCCCCAGAACTATAATTTTCTACATTAAATCAAAAGGTCCAAAAAAGCAAATTGATCCTGCCGACTAAATTAAATATTATACCTTAACGGTCAACAAAGCAATTTCAAACTGATTTTTAAGATAAAAAACGTACGTAGGTACATACGAAAGAATTTGAAATTCGGTCCACAATTGGGGGAGAAACGGTGAACAAACAAAAAAAACAAACATCCGATTTCATCCGAACATAGTAACTTCTTGTTTTTTTGAAGTCAGTAAAAAATCTAGTACGCATACACTGATCACGATACGTATGGATTTTTTTAGATCGAATTTTGTTAAAATTTTATTTTAATCGAAATACAGAAATTATAGGATAATTAATACATTTTTATACAAACATTCACATATATTAATGAAACGTTAGATATCATGTACTTGCTCCATATCTACGAGTACTTCCTTTGGGTGACCTTTGTTTATTGCGTGGGACATAAAGTAAAACACACTGTATTTTGTTATAATAACTATAAAGAAATTACTGACATGGGTACTTACTGAAAATACAGCACTATATATTTTCTGTACATTCCGTTAATCTATTTCGTACCTCGTCGCCCATAAAGTAATTCGTTCTTCTAAAGAAACTGTCGAAGCTTCAAATGATGTTCGGCCGTCTACATGGAATTACGTATCTTGTTATCTCATGTTTTTTTGGCCCTTTGCCATTGGGATGTTTTTTTCCCTGACATTGTAGAAAATATTTTATACTTTAATTTTTTTGGTTTTAAACTAAAATAAGGTATCTTAGGATAACTCTTAGGGAAAATGAATTTTTCGTGTGAAGTCATCAATCCAGCTCGCGTGGGTGTCACTGCCCATCCACTTGATAGAATTCATTAGTCGCCTTTGCTACACCCACGGGATGTTCGGTTATGGGTAGCCTATTCTTAGCGGGGCCGTACCTTACATGCACTAATGTGATTATATATCGAGTCATGTAGACTAAACATTATTTACATTTCAATAATTTACTATATAGTATAATATATAGGTAGATACGTATTATATAATCAACATGTATATTGGACATAAAATTATCATATTTTATCCTCCTTTAAATTTTTACAACAAAGAAAAAATAAAAGATTCCTGTAATTTAGTACACAATTATATGCCTAAATAATGACACCGTTTACTTAAAGTAAGACACACCAAAGATGGTTCCTAACATCATTTAAACAAAACCTTTGTTTATTTACTGTGCAAAAATCCAGATTCTTTGATTATATTATTGTACTTATGTCCCCTAATATTTGAAAGTAAGCACTTAATGGAAGAGCATAAATCCATAGGTTTACCTATATATAGGTATATAGGTCTACCTCTGGATTTATGGAGCTAAGTAAATGAGTAAGTATTCTGAATTCTATGAATTACTTCTATTGGAATAATGTATTAGAAGATAACATTTAATAATAACTACAGTAGGCATCTCAAACTGCCAATTTGGCATGCTGTGTGATTTTAACAGTAAGTAATTAGTAGTATCACGTGATTTATAACATAGTTTGTTAGTGAGGAACCTGTTTGTTTCTCTATTATAATGTACAAGTACTATGTACACACTACACATACACATCGCAAAAAATAATGTACAGGTAAGAAAATAGAGATCAATTTGGTACAGACCGTAGCTATTGTTAAATTGGATATTTATTTGTTTTTAACAAAACTTTGTAACTATTATTTATTTATTTATTTATTTAAACTTTAATGTACACACAAACAAGTAATGGTACATAAGGCGGACATTAATGCCATATGGCATTCTCTCCCAGTCAACCTTAGGGTTAAAATGGAAATCTGCGAAAAAATAGGCATGTGTAATTATTAGAAACAAATAACATAAATAGACTTTATAAATATAGAAAGGTACTAAAAATATTTAAAATTTACACAATATTATTGTTTGTCTCCGTACTGAATCCATTTTTAATTTCTTGCCTGCATTTCAAATTCTGTAAGGGCCGATTTTTTTAATCATAAGTCAATTCTGAACTGAGGAATGAAATTGACATTTGACAGTTTTTTTTTGATGTGGAAGATTTGTCGAATATTCAAAGTTATTCTTCGGTTAAAATTTATCTAGCGTTTGAAAAATCAGCCCTTATTGTCTGTAAATCTTCTAGTCCTTGTCAGTGCTACTGTGAGTGAGCGACATTATTCTAAAGCCTTTAGGTACTATTATTGTTCCAAGAATTTAAGAAAAAGAGAAATTCACTGCCTCGTTGGCCGAGTGGTCGTAAGTGCGACTGCCGGGCAATTGGTCTCGGGTTTGATTCCCGGGCCGGACAAAGTATTACTGGGCTTATAAAACTTCTCAGTAGTAGCACGGAGTCTAAAATTGTGCCCGGTATATGGCAATTGCCTCACTCCTAATTACATAGGACTCTTAACATAAATAGTGGGTGTTACATTAGTGTGGCATTAAGTATTATAATGTACACCTCTGCCTATCCTATCGGGGATAAAAGGGGTGATATTATTTATATAAAGACAATCAACAATAATTGAAAACGTAACCGCCTTTCTTAGCAATGATGCTTGTATAGGTAATCATTTTATTTCAATATTCCATTGTTTTGATAAGTAGTAAAAATGCGAAAAAAAGGCAAAACTAGTTTTGGTTTTAGGCAAGTCATTAGTTACACATAAACGTTTGTCTCTGTGACCTCACGTGTTCCACCTGCGTGACCTTGACCGCTAAACTTCTCAAATACTCACTCTAGACGACTTAGCCTCCCGTTATGATAATGAACTAAGAACTAACAGTCATTGAAAAAGACTACAATTAGTTATGCTTAGATTTCATGAATTAATATCTAATTACGTAACTTAAGATTTAACTAGTTAATAATAATTATTTTTTTCTTGAGGGTATAAATAATGAATAATCATTTTATCACTGCTAAGTTATATTTATTAGTAAATATTAGTAGGTAGACATTCAATTCTGTCTCACGAAAACAGAATCGAAATCCATGACCATGGACCAAGCTGTGCTTGAACCGTATCACATCCAATATTTTCTACTATAAAGACGTAGTACCTACGTAAAAACGGATCACCTTTACACCAGTGTGTCATAAGTCCCATAATAGGTATTGCTAATATTATTGTACTTCTTCTTCGTTTCTTTATTACTACAAGGTCATGTCTGCATAGAGACATACCATACTGTAAAATTTACTCAAATTATTAACCTCTAGACACTGCTGAACAAACTCAGTCTCAGAGTATAAGAGGTGCCACAATCCCCACTGTTGGGCAGCAGGCCATTATTATTAAGTCTGGCCCTCAAAGATTAATCATAGTTTCAGAACACACATGGTTAGTGGTTACATAATATCCTTCCAAGCATTTGGAGCATAATTCTTAATGAACTACTTTAAAAAAAAACTGACATCAATCCCCTCTTTTTTGATATTTAATTAATATACTTAAACCTTCTCCTAAGTGTACCACACACTTTACTGAAAATCGCATCAAAATTGGTTCGGCCAATCGCAAGATTGCACACACACAAACACACATACATACAGGTCAAACTCAGAACCTTATTTTTTTGAGTCAGTTTAAAAATAGCAGTAAAGCACAATTTAATGCAATACAATTATTCAGTTGAAGAATCCATTGTATTCTAATTCATTAATGAATCACAGTTTCCGCGTTATCACCGTGAGATAATGGCGAGTAAATAGTGATTCAACAGCGTAAACAATGTAGTCATTGAAGTTTAAACTTGTTACAGTAATCTGTGCTGGAGTATCTTCAGATATGGACAAATGCATTATCCTATCAAATGCACTTGAAAGTTACAAGTAAATAATATGTACTTCATGTATCTAGTACACTACATTTATCATGTAAATGAATGAAAGTTGGTCTATTTTTAGAATAATCCTTTGTCAGTTTTTATTTTACTACGCCCACAAAAGGTAATATTTTTTTAATAAGTGTTCTTCATATATGTAATATCAACTTTCAGGCTCAAAAGGTCACTGTCTATTTTTTATCCCCGTGCGGATAGTCTCCAAAAAAAGCTTGCCACTCAAATAGGTAAGCGGTCGTCTAACATTTTTAACATGAATAACCAGTAAGTTCCCTGCTAAGTAGATAAACCTTGAATAAGTGACATAATGTAGTCCATAAGTAGTCATCTGTGTTAAGTGTCAGATTAAACGCGCAGACCTAATCAAAATCTGTCATTCGAGACTTTGTCGCCTTTATGACACAAGTGGTAATTTTCTTCTTGCGCCATTAGTTGCTTAGGTGTTATATAGCAAATCAGCGACGGTAGTAACTTCTACTGTGTATAGGTACCTACCTAATAAGCTATGAATTAGTGCTGACAATTTTATTACAGGTAAATATAAGAACATATACTATAGGTACCTATTTAACGGATGGAAAGTCTTTTGTCGATGAGTCGACGATACGACGACATCGATTATAATGTAAAATTAGAATAACTGGACGGTTGCCCGTTCTGAGAGCAGCAAATAGTACTGGGGCATGCGACCAATCGTAACAGCCGCAAATACATGCACCGCGCTGAATGCGGACACACCGCGGAAGACAACAACCCCCCACAGGCGAGGCGACGCGCTCCTACCCGCCGCTGCACCTCGTGTTATGTAGTCGCAGGCTCGCCCGCCGCCGCCTCCTGCGATGCCGTCAGCGCTACACTACACCGGCCTTGCGTAATCACCAGCCTCACGCAAGCCCACTTTATCGTTTTACAAACCCTGA